CATGTAGCTGGGGATGTCAGGGGCATGCTGTTAACCCAATTTTTGTGGTTGAAATGGAGTCTTTGCAAACTTTTTGTCCAGACTGGCCTTGAACCAAAATCCTCCCAATCTCTTCCTCCTAAGTAACTAGGATTACAGACATGATCCACCAGCCCAGCTTCATCCCCACTTTAATGAATGAAGAAACTGAAGTCTTGGGAAGTTCTGCAACTTGCTCAAGTCAACCAGTTAGTAATAAAATCAGAGTGAAAAGCCAGGACTTTCACATCAAGCTGGTGTCCTTCAGCAAGCAGGATGTCACTCTTGAACAGCTGAGCTTCTCCCTTTTCCAGCAGGTGGGTCTGTCTGCTGATGCTCTCAGGCAGCCTGTTGGAAAGCTTTGGACTTTCGTCATCATTTTTTGCCTGGCAGGAGGTATGTGCCTCTGGCAGTGTGGCTTAAGAAATGGCATTTTAACTCTTGATCTACATTGCTGAAAAGCATTTTCTTCTTTGCAGGGAGACATTTGGACATTAGCTGGTTAACATTTGCCAGCTGCTATAGGAAATTCATTAGCTTGAAAAGAACAGGAGTAGAGTTGTTCACATCCAGACAGAGAGATGGATATAAATTATTAACAAGGGGGCTTGCCTAGAATATATCCCAAGGATTTATTAATGGAGGTGTTGGGAATATTCAGCTGGAAAGAACAGAATCCATTCAAAGCTTCCCCAGAGCATAAGAGAAGCACTGCATCTGCTCTGAGCATTCAGGGCACCCCAACCAGGGCCCAGTGGGAAGAACAACTTGCTATTTTTCATTTTATCATATTTTATTAAAAATCAAAACCTGCTGGGATAGTGGGTGCCAAATGCAGTATTCAGGAGGGCAGAGGCAGAAAGATCCTGAGTTCAAGGTCAAGTTTCTCTAAGAAATTTCAACATGTAAATCACAGGAACAAAAGTCTATGACCAGACTGAAATATGGCAAATCCAGTAACATAACATAAATAAAGTGATAGTCAACGACAAGCCATTGTATTTGTCATCAACAAGCCTATGTCATGCCACAAGCTATTTTGATGAACAGGTTAAAACAAATTGTCACAAAAGGTCAATATAAATACTATAGAAAGTGGCCAGTAGCATCCTGAGCATTCCAAAGCACATCAATTGCATGAACTGGGCATTTTTTTACTTTAAAAAGGCATTTTTTGCATGTGTTTTTATGTTTTCAAACCTTTCATTACAGAAAACTTGGAAAACTTCAGTAAAGATAAATGTGTATCTTCTATCACTAATTGCCACTACTGAATAGCTGTCATTTTTTTCTAAAACACACGTCACTGTTTTTATTAATGTGTGAAGCATTTCCCCAATTAATTACTCTATTGACCAGAATTCCATAGTCTTCTGTTCACACTGATTGCCAGAGCAATCGTGTGTGGCTGTTAGATTTTCATCCTCCCTGTCTCTTCTTTCTCCCATACCTTTAAGAAAGATTTGTCTCACAAGACCTGTCTCTCCCCTGAAAGCAGGGACTGGGTTTTATGCATAGCTCTACCCTGAGCGCTTAGCATGGCAGCATTTGAACATTTCTTTTTCCTTCTTTTATTCAACTGCTCTGTAGCTAATATGGAGGGGTTTTTTGGTGCTGTTGTTTTGGTTTTTGGTTTTGGCAGTACTGTGGTTTGAACTCAAGGTCTCACGCTTGCTAGGTAGGTGCTCTGTCATGAGTCACTCCACCAACCCTTTTCTGTGTTGGGTATTTTCCAGATAGGGGCTTGTGAACTATTTCCTTTCGGCTGCCTTTGAACCTCAATCCTCCTGAGTAGCTAGGATTACAGCTGCGAGTCACCAGACTGTTAGAATCTTCTGGGAATTCAGAGATTTGAGCTCTTTCCTGACTGAGGAGACCTAGCATTTGACCTATGCCTTGGCACATAAATTGTGTGTGTGCATTAGGGTACATACAGTGCGCTTATGAATGTGCATGGGGGGAGGGGCAGAAAGAACAGAGAGTAATGGAAGAAAAAGCTAGAGTCCAGAATGGCAGACTAGGGGTTGGACTCTATTTCCTCTACAATTTGGAACCATTTAGTCATTCATCAAATGTTTCTTAATTGTCTGCTATGTGCTAGGCCTCATGATAGTGATGGTAAAATAAAAAAATTAAAAAACAAGGCATGATTACAATTCCATGATAACATAACCTTCTAGAAGTACAATTTAAATTTAATAGCAAAAAAAGATAAATTAAAGACTAGCAGAGTGGCTCGAGTGGTAGAGCTCCTGCCTCACAAGCATGAGGCCCTGAATTCAAACTGCAGTACCGCCAAAAAAATTAAAACTGGACAAAATTAATTATAAGGAGTCTCTACTGGTTTGTTATTGCTGTGTGACAAACTAACCCAAAAATTAATGACTTAAAACAACCATCATTTGATTACTTGTTCACGGTTCTGCAATTTGGATGAATGTGAAACACAGCTGTCTCTTTTCCAGGTGGCATCAGCTGGAGTAGCTTGAGTGACCGAAGAGAGTCTGAACCGGCCAGCTTGCATCATGGGTCCAGACCTCAGACTTTGCCGTGATCTTGGTCCTTCGCTCCCCATTGTGATCTTACACTTCCTCCTTTGTCCCTGGTAATCTGACTTCTGTGGTGGCTGGCTTCCCTCAAAGTGCAAAAGAGGAAGTTTTTTCCAGGGTTTTGAGAACTGGCACAGTGGCACTTGCATCGCTCTCAAATGGGTAAAGCAGGTCACAAAATGAACCCAGATTCAGAGGTAGGGGACTGCAGAAAGGTGTGACTAACAAGAGTGATTCATTAGGAGTGAAGACAAGAGGGTACCACGGAATCTTAAAGTCAAATATCACCTAAGGCACATTAACTGCATAGAGTTTTTCTACCTCAGGGCATGTAACCCCTCCCTCGTCACTCTGCCCCACCTTGCCAAGTGCCAGTGAAATCCAGTCTTTTCTCATGAGTTGCATCAACTTCTAAACCAGCCTGTAGCAGTTTTAACAGGCCAACATCCAGGAAAGGAGAAGGCCCACGACTCCCAAACCTGTCACTCCTAAGAGCTCTTGCTGTCACTCCAGCTTCAGAAGAGGAAGAAAGAAACACCATAGGTGCCTTGTACCTGCCGCTTTTCTGCCATCTCCATGTCCTGTCTCTCCCAGGACACTCCTAAACACCCTCATTTCTGCGGAGCCCAGCAAGGACAGAAACTTGAGCTCCTGGTTCCCAGAATGCCATTTCAGATCCCTCTGAGGTGTTTTCCATCCTCTTGTACTCTCCATTCTTTGTAATCCTTTCTATTTCCAAACCTAACAAGGCACTCCAGGCGTGGCCAGGTGCCACGTGCAGTGTGGGTGTCAGAACTGCTGCAGGAGAAGCTTGGGAAACGATCTGATTTGTGGGAAGAAGGGGGGAAAGCAATTTTTTTTAAGTTTTTGTTTGTTTGTTTGGGTTTTGTTTTTCTTTTTGATGTTGTTGGTTTTTTTCTGAGACAGAGTCTCCTATGTTGCCCAGGCTGGTCTCAAACTTGTGTGCTCAAATGATTCTTCTGTCTCAGTCTCCTAAGGAACTGGTACTACAGGTGCAAGCTCCACCACACCTGGCTGAAACTTTTTGTAAAAGTGATGTGTCCCCCCCAGATAATTAGAATTGGTCACCAAAACATGAGCATGTTAGTCAAGAAATTATTGATGAAAACCTATACTTAGCTCACTTAAATGAATAAAAATGTAGACTTGGCATATACATGCAAAAGCTAATTGAGTTTAATAAAAGAGCAGAAGCAGAGGAAGGGTTTGTTTTGTTCTTTGCATTTGTAACCTGATCCATCAATGATGCCATAAAGAATAATTGAGCATGGGTTCCAAAAATCAGACTATATGGATTTTTTGAGGGGTGGTGGTGAAGGGAGTTACCGAGGATTGAACTCAAGTTGCGAGGTACCTGTTCTACCACTTGAGCCACACACCCCCACCCTTTTGCTCTTAGTTTATCAGATAGGGTCTTAAGCTTTTGCCTGGGCTGGCCTCAGACCGACATCTTCCTGTCTCTGCCTGCTGAGTAGCCACGACCACAGGCAAACACACCATGCCCAGCTTGTTTTTGGTATAGGTTTTTGCTAACTTTTGCCCAGGCTGGCCTCAAACTGTGATCTTCCTATCTCTGCCTCCTAAGATGCTGGGATTGCAGGTCTGGCTCCATATGGATTTGAATTTTGGCTCTATCATTTATCTTAAGCAAGTTACTTAATTTGCCCTTAGTTTTTTCACCTATAAAATAAAAGCCTATCTCATTGGGTTGTTGTGAGTATTAATAATACTTGCAAAAGGTTTGTAGATGGTGCCCAATAAATTGTAAAGACGCAATAAATATTACTTATTATTTTTATTTCATGAGTTATCATCAGCCTAAGGATTTTTAACACATGCTTCTTTTGTCATTGTTAGTTCTTTTAAAGATGAGCTTGAAGGCAATAGTCTTTTAAGATCATGAGAAACTACTAAAAATATCCCAGCAAGCCATCTTCTCGGTATCTTGACCAACTTTAAATAACTCTTGGCAAGGAAAGGTATCAATAGGAAATCGAAAAATATTAATAACAGATACATTTTTTAAAAACCCTGAAGTTACAATGATTCTCCTAAGCTAAGCATTTAAATATTAGAAATATAAGATAATTGACAGAAATGTAGTTATGAAGAAAGTAGCTAAGAAATGAGCATCAAGCCTACGTGTATTTTAAATGATTTTTAAGAAAGTGTACCTTCTCATCAAATTTGTGTTGAGAGAGAATGAGATGTGTAAGAGCAATTTAGAACTTTACTTTGGGTAGAGGCATACTGTTCCACTGTATTATTTTTTCCCTCAGTTGTCTTCCTGACATCCTCTTTGCTATTACAATCACAAGAGGCAAGCAGAAGAGACATCCAATGAGACAAAACAGGGGAACACGCTGTCCCTGCAGGGCACTCATGTGGGGCCATTTTCCTGCCTCTCTGTGCTTACAGAATTTTATTTGCGTAGAAGAACTGCAGGAGCTCTGGATGATAGTGGCTCTGAAAGAAATTAGCAAAGGTATATGTGAGGGCGGGTTTCCCGAAGTCTCCTGGACTACGTAACTAGTAGGAAGTTGTCGACGCAGGGCATAAGCAATCAGAGAGGTGGTGGCAGTGTCACCTGCATGAGCTGCCGACCTGAACTACCAAGAACGTCTGTGCATAATCTTCCAGGCGTTTCACCATTTACATTGCAGTATGGGTGAATTACAATTGAAATAAGTGGCCTGAGTCATTTTATGGGGGATAACTCCCTGGTATGCTCAGTCACCTTCTGTGATAAGCACCAGGAGGTCAGGGACCTGGGGAGAATTCTCTCCTGCCCTGGCTCGCTCACCAGCTGCCGGCAGAGTTTGGGGTTCCTTTGATCTTCGTCGCTCTGGAAGTTGTATTCCTTCCTCAGTTTCAGATATGGAGAACAGGCTTGAAAAGTTGTTTTGCAAGCCTGAGGAAAATAATACTGCTGTCTTATTGTGAAAAGTATGAGAGTTCTAGAATCCCAAGCAAGGAAAGCTATCCCAGAGGACAGAGGCAATCTATGATCAAAATCACTGAGAACATGAAAGTAACTTCCAGGTAGCTTGTACTTGAACCTTAAAGGACATACACTTATAAAATGGCCATGTGTATGATCTAGAGCTGATGAGGAGGGGATAGCTGTTCTGTTTACATGGCCCTTATTGTGGTAGTGCTGAGTTCATAAATTCAATCTCTAATCTCCTCTCTCTCTCTCTCTCTCTCTCTCTTTCTCTCTCTCTGTCAATCTCAAGTGGTTTCATAGAACCCTTTGCTTCGAATGGTTTAGAAACATTCAGCCTGAAGTTAATCCTTCCCCGTAGGACACATTTTCTCTAAAATTAGGGAATTGAGAAGCCAGGGGCAGGAAATTTATACCAGGAGCAGTGACAGAAGTTAATGGGGACCAAATAAATACCCCTGTCTGCTGTCCCACTGATTCAATCTGCTCCCTCTGCCCCCAACTTCTGTGAACCTGACAGCAGGGGTAGCGGGGGCAAATGGACACTACTGCCCTTGCTCAAAGAGATTACACATTGGTAGGCACCTGTCCCAGGATTCACTACTGACTATTCCTTTGTTTGGTTTTATTTTTTGTGTTTTTTGAGACAGGGTCTTGCCATATAGTCCAGGCTGACCTACAACTCATATGTAGCACAAGCTGACCTCAAATATGAGATCCTCCTGCCTCGGCCTGGGATTACTGGTGTGCACCACCATACCTGGCACGACTTACTATTCTTAACCTCACTGACAGGAACCCAAAGGATTGGCATCTCAGCTCAGAGGACTACATCACACACACACCCCTCTCTGGAACAACACAGAGGTTTCGTGCAGTTGGTTGAAGAATCACTCTTACCTTGGCAACATGAGGGTTTCTGTCCTGTAAATGGATCAGGAGAGAATCTCGGGTCTGCTTGACCTGACCAATGAAAAATTTCTTCCATTTCCTCCCAGCAAAGGCAGCCAATTGCCCAAATAAAACAAAGGCTGAGTATCTCATGCTGTCGTTCTCCTGTGGGTTTCCATTAACAGAACAACAGAGCCAGGTCAATACCGAAAGGCAACTGCAGCCAAACACATCCTGGCATCATTCTTGGGTGTAGAGTGCAGAATAGACCAACAGAGCCACAGCCCTTCCCCTCTTCTTCACATAAGAGAACACACACAGTCCCACTGATGTTATGCCCCTTGGTTGTTCTAGCAATCTATTGAGAGTTTATTTCATGTCAATAACTAACAGTTTTCATTCTTTTACTTTTTCTTTCTCTTTTTGTTTTTGTTTGGGTTGGGTTGTTTTTTTTTTTCCTGTATCATAATTCACTTGAAAATCCCTTGTTTCTTACCTCCAGCATCTCACCAGGTCAACTTTCCCTACTATTGGTCTGAGTTTCTCTCACCCATAGAGGAAATAAGGATCCTATTTCTTCCCTCACAACCCTCCGAGCTTGCCCTGCTCTTTGTATGATCACATTTGTCCCTGAGCACACGTTAGTGGGCTCAGTCCTCCTGTTCTCTCCTGTGTGAGCTGTTTGCTCCACGTATCTCCCTTTCCAGGTGAGGAGAGCAAGGTGAGGCACTTCAGCAACTTCTCCAGAGTCACACTGTCAGGAAAAAAGAGCCAGCGAAGGAGACCAGTCTCCTGACACTTGGTGCTCAGATTTTATACCAATGTTTCATGGTCTTTCTAGCTCCAGGTGAACCAGAAGGAACAGGGCTGGTTTGGGCCTCCTCTCGGGGTGAGGAACATCTAGCACTGGGACCATAGAGACTCAGCAAGACTGAGAGCCACTGAGCATTGTGTGAAGTATCTTTAAGTATTTTTTAGCATATGTGACATACAGAAACAGCCTCAGGGTTGAACTTTGTTCCCAGCTCTGTTAGTGTGTGTACGTGTATGTATAATTCAACTAACACTGAGAACTTCCCCATCCAAAGCCCTCCCCAAATACTGAATGCCTAAGATAGGTGCCTGTCCCCCCAGCAATCTGACAATCAAACAATGGGGACACGTGGACCGGTGAGCACAGTGTAAGGCAGGCAGCGAAGAGGACTAACTGTAATGTAGATATAAAGTGTCAGCAAACAGCTGGCATGAGAAGTTCCTTGTTCTGATCTAAAAAATTATAAGTAAGCTGGGTTTGAAGACTGATTGGATAGCAATGAAGCCCAGAAGTTCAGATGACACTCCAGAGAGATTTAAGGACGTGTGTTGCTAACATTCTGGGTCATGCCTCTCCCCTCCTCAGAGAGGACTGGTTGACATTCAAGAGCAAAAATCTGTCTTTCTGAAGAAAGGGGGGATGGATGTGCCAGCTGCTACTATATAAACTCTCAGTGTCATAACTCGTGGTCTCTCATCCTCTCCTGTGAAGCCAGTACATCCAGTTCATACTGTGTGACTCCATTGTAAATTAGGGGATGGGGAACTGGTGTGAGTTGCTCTGGCAGTAAATAAAAGATTTGTTCCCTGTTCAGCAGGTCTAGTCTTCCAGAGAGACAGAGAATAACAGGGGCAGGCTGACTTGTTAGCTTGCCAGCTGGGTATTTCAAACTCCTCACAGTTTCAGACTCACCACTCTAACCCCCAATGCACTTCTTCCTTGGCCTGTGCTGTAATCTGGTGGTTAACAGAGCAGGTGCTACAGCCAGAGGGCCTTATTTCATAGCCACTTACCGGCTCTGCAAACCTTGGGTAGGTTCCAGATGAAGACTTCTACAATGTGAAGGTAAGTACAGCGCCTACTTCACAGGGTTATTGTGAAGATTACATGAGATGAACCATGTAAATTGCCTAGATCTGTCATGGCAAACAGTAAGGAGTCACTAAATGCAAACTATAGGTACATAAGGCAGTATTGACTCCATGGCGACACCACCATCATCAGTGTAAGTGAATATTTGAAAACCCCTTGAACATCATGGTGGGATACGATACATCTTTTATGTCTGCCATAACTCCTCACACAGTACTTGTCTCTCAACAAGATTCATTAATAAATAAGTGAATGATTTAGACACTACTGAGCAGCACACTACTTGAGGCACTCATTTCCAATCCCACTTTGATTTCAACACCTCAGAATTTTATGAATAAGCTTCTCACTCACATCATCCAATAAAGTTCTGGTCTGAAGGGTGATGTCTATGAAGAAGGAGCCTAAACCTTTCCCCTGGATTTTGCCCAAGATGATGGTCAGCGTTTTCACGCTCTCGTAGATGACTTCAGAACTCACAGGGTCGTACAATCCATGTACCAGCAGGTCTAGCATAATTTTCTTGTACTTTCTCACCTGTTGTCAAGGTTAGAAAAACATTGGTAATACAGGAATTGCTCTGCGACAGTTGAAAAGCAATTCCACTCCTAATCTTTCTGTAATCTAGGACTTGCACTAAGAGACCATGACTTTGTTTAGGATCTGATACCAACTCTTATCAAAATACAAATGTGCCATTAACCCAACCTAAAAGCCCACCTCAGTCTTGGAAAGAGGACAGAAAGAACAACCTGGAGTGTGGCCTCTAGAGAGTTGAGCTGAGTAAGCACTTCAAGGAGGCACAGGTGACCACTGTGACCCAGGGACCTGGGGAGTATTGGCTGCCTTTATAATGGAGGAACATGAACTGGTACTGACATTGGCAGATGCTAAGCTAAAGTATGAAAAATGTCTTTCCCTAAACAAGCATAAATTATAAGAAAATCACTTCAATTCCCCCAAGAGGGTGATGTCAACACAAGTCAATTCTGCCTGCAGCTCTGTTTCCCTAAGCTGATAGAAAATGCTAAGGAGAGATGTCCCTAAAATGACCCTGGGTGACTCACAGCCTTGTACAGCCTGCTCTTCTCGGGTGTAGAAGGAATCTGACACTCGCTTCTAACCTAATAAAATATGACAAAGGTGACAGGATGTCTCTCCCATGGCTACTTTTCATTGCATAAGATTCTGTTGTACCAGACAGGAGTGAGCGATGTCCTCCTGCCAGCCTTAAGAAATAAGCTACATGTTGTGAGAGGGTGTCCATTGGGAGTGCACCCCAGTGGACAGCCAGCAAGAAAACAGAAATTCCTGCCTTACAATTGGAAAAGCCCAGTTATGCCATGTGAACTTGGAAGGGGACCCTGAGCCTCAGGAAGAAACATGGTCTGGCTAACACAGGGTCTCAGCCTTTCAAGAACTTGAGCAGAGGATCCAGCTGCGCTGCACCCAAAACCTCTGACCCAAGACACTGAGAGGGAACAATAACATGCCAAATTACACAAAGGATAACTAGCCTATGAGGTGCCATGCCCCACCCTTGGGACTCCATGCCATGTGGGCTGGAGAGATGGGGAAGGTTGGCTGAGCTCCACCTCCCTCCCCTACCTGCTCAGGGTCTTCACAGGCCATGGTGCCTAGGCTTCTCATTGCCAGGTGGCGCTTTTTAGCACTGGGGTCCTGGGCTCTTTCTGCCAACATGAAAAATACATTCTTCAAAGGCTCCTGCTTCTGGAACTTCAGTTTCCAAGAGACCTTGTGGGTCAAAGGAGTATTAATTCAGGAGAGTTTAGTATTCTCTGGGCTGGTGGAGTGGCTCAAGTGGCAGAGCACTTGCCTAGCAAGTTTAGGGCCCTGAATTCAAACCCCAGTACTGCCAAAAAAAATTCTAGAGTCATTCTCTGAACCCAACCCCAGCCCCAACCCCTCTCTTTAAAACAATGCTATCATTCCTACTCAATTATGTCCTTCTTTCTCCAGCTAAAGATGTATCTGTGTTGCTGAGAATCAAACCCAGAGCCTTGTGTAAGCTAAGCACACACTCTGCCACTGAGCTATATCTCCAGCCCCTAAAGATGCCTGGTTTTTGTTGGAAAATATATTAGTTTGATCTACATAATGAAGGAAGTGATGGAGGAAAAGGAAAGGGGAAGAAAAATAATGCAAGACTGGTGTTGAGGTGGGTTGGGGGAATTATGGAGAGAGATACTCTACAGCAGCAATAGGGGTGATAGAAGGTGGGAAGAAAGGGGACTTTCTAAGGGTTGATGTAAGATATGCTGTTATGTCTCATGTCCTAAAGAAAAGAGTTCCCTTGACCCTCTTCTTCCTCCAATTCTTATCCACTTTTCTGCTCTACTTAGTAGCTTAACATCATGAATGACATGTCTGTATTGCTTTCTCCAACTCTCCTCCCATTCCCTCTTGAACCTTTTGCAGTCAGGTTCATGTTCCCCCATCTCCATCTCACCACATTGTTAATTTCAAGGGTCCGATCTCAATAGTCATCTTTCTCATGTGACACAGTTGGCAAAACACATCAACAAACATCTGCTCCACATCTACAAACACTTGAAGATAGTCCCAACTCCAGAATGCATCTGAGCGATTAAGATTAGGAAGAGCTGGTCGAGGTGCTCACACTTGTAATCCTAATTACTCCAGTGGCAGAGACTGGGAGGATCATGGTTCAAGGCCAGCCTGGGAAAAAAGTTCATGAGATCCCCATCTCAACCAATAAAAAGTTGAATGTAGTGGTATGGAACTGTCATCCTAGCTAAGCAGGAAGTGTAAATAGGAGGATCTCAGTCCAGGCTGGCCACAGCATAAACATAAGACCATATCTCATAAATTAACAAAGCAAATAGGGATGTAGGTGTGGCTCAAGTGGTAGAGCACCTATCTAGCAAAGGCAAAGACCTGAGTTCAAACCTCAGTACCATGAAAAAAATATATATATATATATTATAACACAAATTGGGAAACACTGTGTGTCTGATGTAGAAAGCTACACTTCAAAGATAAACTCTAAGTAACTGTCTAGCAAGAGATGAAGCAAGAGATGAGCTGTCCCCATAGTGAGAAGATGAACTCTGATGCCAAGAAGGCCCTTGTGGTCTTCAGAACACAGAACACGGCAACCTATATTAGCGTCCACCCCCAAAATGAGTAAAGATCTGGACAATACCAAAGACAGAAGCTCTCCCCCATCCTTAGTGGGTGTGTTTGGGTGGTGTGGGGGGAGAATTTGGATCCAAATCCAGCTATTTCCACTGTGCTGTCAGTGAGATTGTTAACTTCCAAGTTTGATTCATATTTCTGAATATTCATTGCAGTTCACTCTATATTTTTATTATTGAGTTTACAGCAAGTGAACTCCTTTCAGCTCATCTTGTCTTCCTACAAACATTCTATCCATGTTAAAAGAACTGGAGCATTTGGTGATATCCAATGGCCCACTTCACCCCCTTTAATGTGTATTATCCCTGTTCAGGTGGTTGGTTTTATCCAACTTGCCCACTTCATGCCTTGAGGTGTACTTATGCTCTGCTAATAAATCACTCTGTGCTATGAAAAACAATTTAAAACACCGTCATCACATTGTTTTCAGAAGGAGCCCCTGTAGAATACTCCTAAGTAAGTACAAGCTGAGCAGGCACATATCTACACAATGACTGCCTGAAGGATGTTTGTTCATCACATTTTGTTTCATACCTTAGAAAAGAAAGACAGCATTGATGTCATTTTCTTCCTGGGCTGGGAAGTAGGGATGGAATGGGGCTGGTCCGGGATTCTCTGTGTCTGGTCCATGGAGCTAAAAAAAAAAAAAAAAAAAAAGCCAAAATCATCATATGAGCTGCAAACACCTATCCAAATCCTCCACACTGACAAACATGCAACAATGTAAGAATGTAAAGAGGCAACCATCCTGGGCCCTGTTTTCATGATCCTTTCCCTTGGTAAGGAGATAGGAGAGACACATCAAAAGTTCAATAGCAATTCGAGGCAGCCCAAGAAGAGTAGCAGCTTGGGGCTTGTGGGGGTCTGCCCTCTAGTTCTCCATTGCATTATGCAGATTTCTTTGTATCACTCAAGAATAAAATTCAGATTCCTGGTCATGAACACTTACCCCTGTTTTAAGTGTTTTGTCATTTTAGCTTTTCTATTTATGTAGCAGATCCATTTTGAGCTAATTTTTGTAGATGGTATGAGGTAGGGACCCAACTTCATTAGAATCATTGACTTTGGGGATCATCTTGTGGATTGTTTGTTTGTTTTTGGCAGTACTGGGGTTTGTGCTTGTGAGATGAGTGCTCTACTACTTGAGCCAAGACTCCAGTTCAGTTTTTTTTTTTTTAATAGGAGAAACAGGCAAACGGTTGCAGTTGTTCTCATCCCCGGATGCATCAGAATCACCTACAGAACCTTTAAATACCCAGTGCCCTGGCCTTCCCAGATCAAGGCTGTCATCATCGCTGGAGATAGTATAGGCATCAACAATTTGTAAAGCTCATCAAGCAATCCAATGGGCAGTCACTGATCTAGGGTGACTAGTGACCAATGACCAGGAGCTACCTTGGTTTGTCTGGGGCTAAGGGGTTTTCTGTGACTTTCAAAACTAAACTTAAGAAAGTCCTGGACAGGGCTACTGGAGTGGCTCAAGTGGTAGAGTGCCTGGCTAGCAAGCATGAGGCCCTGAGTTCAAACTCAAGTGCTGCCAAGAAAAAAGAAAGGAAGGAAGGAAGGGAAGAAAGTTCTAGACAAACTGTCATGTGCTCCAACCTAATAGAATGCAGCCCTTGAACAGCCACACTTTGGACCATTTGCCTCTGTCATACCTGGAGATAGGTGAGGACTTGATTTCACTGCCATCTTTGACCCCCAGGTAACTTCACTCATGATGACATTGGAGAGGTAGATGAAAACACCCCTTTCAGCCCCTAACCTCCAGTCTCCATTTCCCCCTCATCTCTGGCCAACAGACAGCTGAGACAGGGACCCAAATAAAAACCCAGAAAATTACTCCCCAACATTTGTAAGTTGCTCTTCTCATCTGTGACCTGACTGAACTGAGGTTCTCTTTGTTAAACTAGAGGCACTCATATAAACGTTGTCATGAATCCAGCAGTTCTCACACCTGGATGTTCACCAGAATCACCTGCCACACGTGGCGAAATACACATTCCCGTTCTGACTCCATGCACCTGGAGCAGGGAGCCTAATAATTTGTATTTCTGACAAACTTCTGGGTGAACGAAGATGCGGTTCAGAATCATTGCCTTAGGAGAAAGAGACCATAGTATCACAAAATAAGCCTCCAGAAAAAATAGATTACAGATTCATACTGAGGCAAAAAATAAAACAAACAATGTTTGGTTGTTCCTTTCCAGGGCTTTTCTTCACATAGCCTTATGTTTCAATGGAACCTGCCACCACTCAGTAGAATACTCTGGATCAGAGTGACAGATGCCTGACAATGGTACCTGTAGTTTAAAAGAAGCACACATCCCCCTGGCTGGGGGTGCCTCACCAAGGAGGGCACAGGCCTCATTGTAAAACAGCTGGCGTCTGTGTTCCAAGGCAGAAAGAACTCTGCCTGGAGCTGCTCTCTACTGGGGAGAAAAACAATCTGCTCCCTTGTTTTCTATTCTTGACTTCTCTTACAAGATTAGCAGAACAGCTTGGGGATTTAACCAGCGAGGGGGCTTCCCCAGCTTCCAGCAGCCAGCCCAGTCTTCTTTTATGTCCTCCCCTCTTTTTTATTTTTGTTTGTTTGGAGGGGTCCTGTGTCAACATTCCTGGGTATATGTTATAAACTCTAGGCCTACCCCAGAATTACTAGATCAGAATCTCAAATCTCAGGGAGTGCTGGACCTGAACACTGCACTTTTTTGTACAAGGGGCCTGGTGATGCTATATGTGCTGCTGTATGGAAACTTCTTCCCTGGGAATTAGCCCCAGGACTGGTATGCTCCATGACGCTGTGGCCATGCATCAGGAGAGACCCTGGAAGTCACAAGAGGAACTGGGCCAAGGGGTGAGAGAGGAGTATGTTGGTGTCTTTGCAGAGAGCATAGGATGGACTGGGGCTCTGACCTCATGAAAGGATTCATCTATTTGTGCAGTTAAAGGATTCAAGGGTATGGGGCATCTCAGAATGGATTGGCTCTAAAAGGCCAATTTGGCTGAGTTTCTATCATGCTCTCTCTCTCTTACCAAGGGATGTCCTGAACCACATCAGGACTCTGCCAGCAAGAAAGCCATCACCTGATATGGCCCTCCAGTTTGGACCAGAATCATGAGCCAAAATAAGCCTCCGTTTTTTGTAATGTTCCCAGTCCATGGCATTATATTATTAGCAACAGAAACAGATTAAGGTAACTGTGAAAGTAAAATTAAAATCACTATGAGGGGTGGAGATGTAGCTCAGTGGTAGAGCAAGAGCTTAGCATGCAGGAGACCCTGCACCCCAAAATCCCCACCACCACCAAAAACAACAATCACCAAAAAAACCCAAAAACCATTAAGCTGTACAATGATGATCTGGGCACTTTTAAAGGATGCTATTCTTAAGACAAAAGTTTCCTTAAGGGACAGGGCATGGTGGTACTTGCCTATAATCCCAGCTACTCCAGAAATGGAGGTAGGAGGATCATGATCCAAGGCCCATCCTGCACAAAAACTGTCTGCACAGATCCTGTCTGAAAAATAACTAAAGCAAAAGGGCCGGGGTATGGCTCTGAGTTCAAAGCCAGGTGTGGTGGCTCATGCCTGTATTCCTAGCTACTTGGATGGTGGAGACCAGGAGGCTCAAGTTTCAAGGCCAGCTGAGGCAAACAGTTAGTTAGACTCCTATCTCAATCAATAAAGCTGAGCACAGTGGTATACGTCTGTAATCCAAGCACTCAGGGAGCTGAAGTAAGGATATTGAGAGTTCCAGGCCAGCCTGGGCTATATAGCAAGACCCTTTCTCAAAAAGAAAAAACAAAAAATGGGTTAAATGAAAATCACAAAGCCCTGTCCTGGAGTTTGTGTCTCTAGAGCTTGCAGCTTCTTTCAGGACCCCTACTACCCACACACACCCCTCCTTGCCTACAGAGTCCTCCTCCTTCCAAGGGTCCTTTATGCCCAATCCAATCAGAAAAAAAGCATCCTTTCCATCTGTTGCAACCAGGATCTCTCTTAGGGCAGATCACTTCAAACACTATGAATGGCCAGAGAGCTCTGCTTTGAAGGTTTCGGAGGGGTCCTGTCCTTCCCATGGGCTCCCTCACCTGCCAACAGCCATTCTTTTCTGTTAGAGGCAGGCTTTGCTGGTGGACTTCTACAGTCATCCCATCTGCCTCATCAAGGCTGGGAGGCCACCTAGTCACCCTGAAGACAAAGACATGATTCTGCCTGTTGCTTTGCTCGTCCCTATGCACCCAGCCAACAAATCCTTCTTCTTCTGGAAGGGCTTTCTGCGTGTGCTTTGCCGGGGCCCCTGGCTTCCATCATCCCAGGCCCTGGAGCTTGTCTTCAAGAACATGTCATGGTTCTACCTGATCTCACAGAAAAGACAAGGGTTTTGAGTAACTTAGAAGACTGTTGTATGCAATATGCTGACTCCCAGAGGCCTTTGCAAATGTAAGTCCTTCTGACTCAATAATATCTTCATCTACTGTGGCCAAAATATATACTATGAAGGCCAAAGTTACGAACATTTGGATCTTTTCTCAACTGCAAAATGAAAGAAAGAAACTGTTAGATTTCTAACAAGCCTTCCGTCTCTGAACTTATAGATGATAATAACATGAATGGCTACCAGCTGTTGAAGGGACGCTTCGGTCTGCTAGATGAAGCATTGCACACAAGGTACAGACAACTTCTGTGTAACCAACATGGCAGATAGCTGCAATTCTCCAGGCCCTGTATGAACTCTACCAACCACTGCTGTGGTGACAGGATTCACCCTACTCCTGCTCCATCGTGGTGACATGCTTACCCAGAAGCAGTTTACAACAGCTGTACTTCTTTTTCTCTTTTTAATTTTATTGTTGTGTTGGGTGGGGGTACACTGTGGCATTTACAAAGATTCTTACAATATATCAAATATATCACATTTGAATTCACCCTCTCCACCATTCTCCTTTATCTCTCCTCCCCCCAGTCAAGAAATAGTTTCAAAAGATATCTTTTTTCCATTTACATTCATGTGTACACAGTATTTGCACCAAATTCACCCTCCCAACCCTTTCCCTACCGTCGCCCCCCACACACTGGTATCAATCCCCCTAGGCAGGACCTGTTCCTCCCTCCTGTTCTCTGATTTTGCTGTTCTCTGATTTTTGCTTGTTTAAGATTACTACACAGGGAGTTTCCTTGTGGCACTTCTAAGTTTATATGTATTATAGCCCGATTTGGTTCATCTCCTCTATTTTTCTTCTTTCTACTTTAGTCCCTTTCTTATGGTGGTTTCAACCAGTTTAAAAATTCTGTATTTATTCTTGTAAAGAGAGTACATCAGCCATATTCACCTTCTTCCTTCTTTTACCCTCTTCCTCTCATGTGTGACCTCTCTTTTGCATGTCCTGTTTTTCATAATATTGCTACATTTGTATTAGGTCTATATTCCACACATGAGAGAAAACATACATCTTGTGGCCTTCTGAACCTACCTAGCGTCACTTAAGATGATGTTCTCCAGTTCCATCCATCAAATGACAAAATTTCATTCTTCTTTATAGTTTAACAGAATTCCATTGTATATAAGTACACATTTTCTTAATCCATTCATCAGTAGTGGGGCTGTTTCCGTAGTTTAGCTATTG